GTCCACACTTTAACACTTGGAAAGTCGTCAACACTTTATTTATTTATACGGAAATTTTGTCAAAAATTAAGTGCCTATTTATTTTACATAATTCGAATGAGAATCATATGTACCGAGTATTATTCTCCTTAAATATTGATAGTAATTCACCAAGTCACCCACTGTATATATCTTATCAAATTTTATCTTTAAATGATACAATATATGTACAAAAAACCTTTATACCGCCATAAATGATACTTACAACAGCGTATAGAGTTAAAAACCTAATATTAACAACACACATTTTTCCTACACCTTTAACAGGAATTCACAATTAAACGATTAATCCAAAAATCATTAGCAAAAATTCCCACGAAACTAGCGTCAATACAAGGCCTATGTAATCAATTCGCATATCATAGTTTAAACAAAAAAATCTACTTTGAAATCATAATATCGGGGAAAAAAAATCTAAAACGAACATAGCTTCCTAATCCAACTGTTTAGGCAATATTGAGCGTAATTATATAGACAGGGCCTAAAATTAATTCTTGATGGTTTATTCATTTCATAGAGTGAAGTCTGTCAAAAGAGAATTGAACATTATTTCAAATATTATTCCGCAACTTGCATAGCGCAAATGCAGGTAACGGCTGTCGAAGTTGGATGGAGAATAGTTTTGCAGTTTTGGTACCGCCCAGTTAGATTGTTGTAGGTACATAGTTTGATAAGTTCCCCCCCCCCCTGATTGAAAATTCCTAAACAATCCTTATCTTGGATATAAAACGCCATGGGAAAGAATATGAAGCATAGTTGTATATTCGATAAGTCAACAGTATATACAGGGTGACTGGTGAATATACTATCGATATTTTGAGGGACGTGATATTTGACGATCAAATATGACAAAATAAAAATTTATATAACATAAATATTAATAAACTTCTAAGTAAAGTTAAACAAAAGTTATGTAATTACATTACGCATCGTATGAACACCCTACAGATTAGGTATACGCCACACACACACACTCGCGCGCGGCTGCGTGTTGTTTGCTATCAGCACGCCGTCGCACGCGTCCACACTTGGAACACTTGGAACGTTGTCCACACTTTATTTATTTATACGGAAATTTGGTCAAAAATTAAGCCTACCTATTTTTTTTTTACATAATTTGAATGAGAATCATGTACCGACTATGCTCCTTAAATATTGATAGTAATTCACCAGTCACCCTGTATAGTTATCATATTGGTTTGCATATTAGAACTAACAACTTCAATAATAGCACTAAACGTACAAAGAATTTTACAAATAATGAGATCTGAGATTTTCCCCGAGTCATTTAAATGAAACACTAATATTTATACTACGGAGCGGATATACTACGCGACTTTATTTTTGAATAAAACTACATACATTTATAATTACCTATACATATATTTCATTTGACTCGGGCAAAGATGAGCAAAGATTTTTGGGCAAATTTTACTAAAATCTTTATAGATTTTAGACACTTAACCTCGCCTTTAAGAACCAATTTTCGTTGTTAATTTTTTTCGCGTAATAAGAATTTTTATTCTTAATGTGTTATGGTTTCGTGTTTTATTGTTTTCGTTTCGTTGTTTACAGACAAGAGAATTAAGGAAAATACGATGTATTATTTATACCTAAATATTTACATTACAGTACAATTACAACTTTATTTCACCATGACTCATAATTACCGTTCCTATGAACCTAATTTATGAAGAACAAGCTTATTACTTTAGAATTATTTTAACATGTATGTATTATATTTGTAGTGATTACAAAGTAAAAATAGTATGAAACATTTAAAACTAAATAGAAAAGTTTACCTTTTGGTTCTATTTAAATAAAAAAGGATCACGTCTAAACTTGTATCTTAACATCCGGAGATTTCTTTGTAAATGGCTCTTAGTCTACAAAAAAAACAGGCGCACGCTGGAGTACGCAAACAATAAAATCGAAAAAACTTAACGTAAATATTTTAAATTAAATGGAGTGTAACGTACGTTGTCCTAAACAAGACAAACTTCTACACTAATCACAAACTTTTTCTTTTATTTCACCAATTATATACTTCATAATAATTATTAATTTACAATGTACTTCAAGACATCATCCCAACAGCGTATTTGTAAAAAAATGTATATTTAAATCTAAACAAAATCAAACATTATTTAATCTTTACTAAATCAAAACACCAATTTAAATAGCACGTTAATTCTAAGAAAGAGTATGAATATTTCAACAAAATTATTTCTCGTACAAAAAAAAAACCACTATATCAGGTTACGTGTATGAAGATATAACTTTGGATATAAAGATACGTTCCAATAGCATGCAATCATTACATATCGATTATGATAATGGCGGGGAAGGGATAGAATGTTAGTTGTCATTCTTCGTGTTACCAGGTCAAAAAAAACTATATAATCTGTTAAAAACTTAACTGGCAACAACACTATCGCGTCGGAGGAATTGTAAAATTCAGTTCAAATTATGTTTAAATACTTTTTATATATAATGCTTTACTTAGTATTACGGTTTTCCAAATTTTTTACATGCCTTTTAAAAGTATAGCTACCAGTTACCTTTCGCATTCGACATAATATTTGATTTAATTCTTACGATATTACTTACGTAAAAACGGAAAAAAAAAATATGATAATATGTATATCTAAAAAACTACTATTACACTAAGGAACACAGCATGCATGAATCGACTTGTATATCTAAACTACTATTTATGTTTACATTTCAAACTAATTTTAAGCCAGTTCAATATCAAGTTGTTATTACATATAAAATGTATATAACACTAAAGAAACTGTATACGTAGTATGTTCTCGTAGGAAATTTAAGTAATCATCGGTGCGTGTCAATTTCAATCAATAGAATCCTTTTTAAGTCGAGGGCCTATAGTGATGTAATAGATTCTTTTTGGTCTCCCCCGAAACACATTACACATACAAATTAGACTTGGCAATAATTTTAAATACATTTATATAGTTTTTCATGAGACACATTGTACGTTAATTGAGAATACTTTGTAAGGTATGTGATACTGTGCAAAATGAATCGTATTTTTATTCGCAAACGCAATTATGTTGAACGGAAATTGAGACGAAATACATATTGTGACATAAAAGTGTACAGCAATTATTATTTTTTCCTTGTTTTTTATATTAAATCATAGGAAACTACGGGCGACAATTCATTATCACTAAAATAAAAAAAAAAAAACCTATTTATATAAATTTTAGATTAGTATGAAAATATACAAGGAAAAAACGTGGGTAGTGATGAATGAGAATTCTTTTACAGTTTTATAAAAATCAATAAGAAATAACTCATTGAATCCAAGTGAATTCTAAAGAGGCAAGTAGTAGAATTTATAGAGATATATGTCATTTAAAAAAACAGGACCTACATTATAACACTTGGCACTCATTGCATAAGGGAAACAGAACACATATTTGGTTTAGATTTATACTATCCATACATACAAATTATGCATACATCGCATCAAACAATAATCTAGTCCATAATAAAAGTTATTCTAAAGCCATAAATATTTTATACAAATCCCATTTTTTCTATTACCTACATTGAACAAGACAACATTAATTAGGCAAGAAAGTAATATTAAAAAATTCCATGTATGTATCTTTAATCTAATTAAAATATTTATTTATTCTCTACATATTAAATAACCAAATCGCAGGAAAAACTATGCATGATGCAATTCTATGACTCAATTATGATAACATGTAGTAGATTTTATTTCTACCATGTTTTTATTTTTATTGTTGTACATTATTTTAATGAAAATTTTAATATGTGGCCAGTAAGTATCATTATTTATCAATAAAAAGGTTTTAAGGTTTTTTTTTTTAATAATTGGTGGGCAGTTTAATGCATACAAAGCATTTTTAAAGCATTTCAGCTAATAATGTTTTAGGTTGAATTTGTAATTTAATATAACTTTTTTCTGTTCATCATAATTTGATTATTACATTACAAAACAAGAAAAAGTAAAAAGTATAGTGTGTTGAAAGTCAATTATGTATTCATTGCTGGTATGGCAAAGGTTCACAAATTCGTATGGATAAGAGCCTATAATTATGTATTAAATAAAAACAATGTTTTTTTTTAATAGATATATAGAAAAAACATTCTTTTATAATATGCCAACTAGTATTTTAGTAAATTAAATAATTTTAGTTATATTTTTAATTTAGTTGGAGTATTTTCAATAGCTTTTGTATATTTTGTTTAACTACAATCTCTTACAAATAACTTCTCACTATGGGTCCCTTGGTAAACAGCGATCAGTATCTTATATTTGACTAATTTTGAACCCATCATACAACCTACAGATACTATTAAGAGTTGGAACCGGCCACCCATGCATGGTGAATCCATGGAATGCTAAGAAGTTTTGACTTTGTCATGGAAATAACATTCAGAAATCTATCTTTAAACTACTGGTGATCATTTTTTAGACCGCTATTCACCTGCCTCTCTGGCCAAACTTATTGGATAATTTAAAATAAAAAAATAAAAAAATATTCATTAACTTACATACGTTATTTAAACCACTTATTAGGAAAGATGAAAGTGCTAGTGCAATAAAAATATTTTTATTAATGTATTTTACTTAGTTTTTTTTGTCATTTAATAATTCTGAATTTTGAGTATTGTTAAGTTGAATGTTTTATTATTTAAATAGAAATTCTGTGAAATATGTAATCATGTTGCAACAAAGACCAAATATAATTTAATATTTTTTTTATCCACTGAGTGTAACCTGATATAATAACAATCAGAAAAACAACCATTAAAACAAATATTTATGTAATAATTATAAACCTATTAGCTTATGACACCTTGTGACTCCAATTTAATGTAGCATGAAAAGAAATGAATAACAACAAAGAAAAACTAATACGACTGACTTGTTTACAATACAAATATTAGACAATTCTTACCAATTGAAATTCTCTCCGCCTGTCATAGGGCCCTTTTTATGGCTTTGTCTAGCCACAACGAGTGTATATGAGGTGCATAATGCATGAAAAAAGGCGGCTATCCAACGAGGCAGTGCTGTTGAAATGCAGCGCCTGCTGGCCGATGTCGAGATTCCTCGGGTTTTCCCAAGGTATTACGAGCTTATCCCGTGCATCCACCAACACTTGAATACCCTTCACTATATTCTGATATATCACATGCTGGTACTCGCGCACTAGTTCCGGCTCGAACTTCACTTTGTGTATTATCCTCATCTGTTTCAGGAATGTTGATTTTCCGCTTTCAACCCCGCACCGAGTAGCAAAAGTTTAACCTGCCGTCGTAAAGTTTGTTTATCTTTCTCAAGTATTCTGTCTATCTCTTTGCTCCTGTATCTTTGCTCTATTTCCTCGGCTGCCGAGAGAGCTTGAGACGCAACCCAGCAAGTGAGAGCCTCCGAACAACAGGTACATGACCACAGATCGTTGGCCATTTTGCATGATTATCGACACCCGCTTTATAACAACTACCTAGCAAATAGCCGTAAACACTAACAAGAACGTCTATAATGTACACATTTTATTGTAGCACTTTGAACGTACCGAAAATATTATAATAAACTTTATATCCGGAATCAGACGTACACACGCATTCTACCCCTCCACAAACTCATTGAGAAAAATAAAATACCTAAGAAATTGAGTGAGTAAAACCACAGACCACAATAAAAGTGTTGCCGCATGTTGTATATATTAAAGCAATAAACTGTCATATCAAAATATACATTCAAGTATTTGTTGCAGCGAGTATCTGATTTTAATTTATAACATGACATGAAATGCAATTATATGTCTGAAATTCGAAAGCTACTGCGTTTTAGAGAAAAATCGAAATATTTTTATTTTTAAAGGAATTTAATCACAGTTGCTAATTTGTCTAACCGACTATTTTATGTAATCAACATAAAAAAGGACAAATATAATTACAACAACGTTGATTTGGAGAAGAAGATGATGTAAACAAATGTTTATTTTATCATGCTAGACCTTATAATTTTTATACACTTTCAACTTTAAATGTCCTTTCTCTTGTCTAAGGCGACACAGACTGCTTCTAATAAAACTGGTAACACTGACTCCAACCTGAGTTACGTCAAAATTAAAATCTGACAAAATATAAGTTGCGCACATTAAGTTGTGCACGTGTTCTGTTTTGATCTCAGTTTAATTCTCTTGTTTCAATCTCTTTCTAAATAATTTAATTTTTAGTTGGTAATCATTTTTTACAAGTTCACTTTCCGCCTAAACGGGAGTGCAATGTAAGATTTTAAAGTACAACGTGAGATGTCCAAAGAAGCTTTTAGTACCGAAAAGAAAGAAGGTGATAGTAAAGCGGTCTTAGAAAGATTGCAAACGTATTTAAAGATAAAAGAAAATATAGAAGTCTCAGACTCCAACATAAGTTTCAGTAAACCTAGTACCAGTTTTGAGCAAACTCACACTGCTTACGACGACAGTAAGCAACGTATTGCGAGAAGTTTTTGAACATTTAAAAAGGCTGAATTGCTTCGTCAGCCAGAGATTGTAGCCTTTTTGAAAAGCCTTTCCACCGATTTAAAGGAAAATAATGGCGTTAGCAACTCAAAAAAAGCGTCGCATCTTTGATGCGAAAAACTTTTTGGACCGGCAGGCTGCTCTGGCGCGCGTGAAGTTCACCTTTAAAAAGAAGCAAGTAGAACAAATACTACTGAGCTATATAAGAGATGGAAATCCGGAATCATTCATGAGCTTGTAAAGGTCTTGAGAGATTGTCCTTTAAATGATAATAACTTTAGAATACTTTTTGAAGATAGCTTATCTTGTGTAGTTTTACTCGGACGAGAGCTTAAACCTTTCGTGGATGCTCTTTGTGGTATAGAATGGGCAAGTCGAGAAGAAGAATTGGTTGTTGAATTATATAGCAGATTCGTAATCAGTCTGGTTACAGCACATACTTATCATTATTCAAGAATAATGGCATCACTTATTAAGTTATTTAAAACGTAAGTATAGTATTATAAAAGATTTTTTATATTTTTGAGAGTAACATTAAAGAAAATTTAAAACAAACCTTATTACTTCCAGCTGATGGTGAAAATTGGCATGACCAGTACCATCTCCAGAAATGGTTTCCCAGTGGTCAAACATTCACACCATCATCGCTCAGATAGTTGCAGTGATGCCTCTGTAAGTAAATATTCCTTTATAAAACATTGTCTCATAGAATAATTCTGTTTTATGAATCATCATTAGGTTTATATTGTGAAACATATTGTAAACTGCACTTCAAAATATTGCATAATAAAATTGATGCACTCTAAAAATATTAAAGAAATTCACTTGAAATGCATCTAAATATGAAACAATTACTGCATATTATAAGAATATAATCAAATACTGCTGAATTTTCAAAAATATTTATTAGAAATATTTCACAATATTATTAGGTCTAATAATATTTTCAGAACCAGCGATCTTTCTGATGCAAAACCATTATAGATAACTTTCCATACTACAAGGCTGGTTGTTTTCAAAACCGAGCTTACATTCACAATCTTATATGGATCAGCAAATACATACCGTCATTAACGGAGCAGATTATGACGGTTATTGTCAGCAAGTAAGTACAGTTTTATAGTTTTCTACATTACCATTAAGAATCTGGACTCGTAATTTGTTTAATTTGTAGAAGTTGTATGTCGAGAGGTGATTTATTAAAGTTTTAGAAACGGACCTGAAGATATTGTCGCTACTACTCAACAATTAACAATGTTGAGTTTTATAAATTGATGCTCAGAACATTCAAATATCAACAAACAGGTCCAGTCTTGAACCTCATTATGTCTGTTTAATATGTTATTATTATAAATATAGCTAACCAAGAGGGGTTTGAGAAACAAAAGTATTGAGCCACAAATTACTGGTAAAAATTACTCTCAGAAGTAATTTTTTACTGATTAAGTTCTGCCAGTGTGACTCAATTAATTCACCATACCTTCCAGTAATGTAGAAATAACAGCAAGTCATTACAAAACTAGTAATAAAACTACAAAACTCTAAGGTGATGGTTTTGTCACTATATATACTAAAGTGTATATAAAATGAAGTTATATGATCATATACACACTTATTAATGACATATAAAAATATTGTGTATATACCACAGAAAATCAAATGTGAGTTATGAATACACTCACATGCTAAGGATATGGGAATTTTCATGGGTGCTTTACAATGTAATCAAATGAACTTTGGGATATTCTTGCAACAAAATGTTGGTAGCAGTCTTAAAGATGGGGTAAGTTTTGTAATTGTCCGGTTGCCATATGTGTGTGCTACCGTGACATTCTTACATTGAAAAGGCTGATGAATAAGAAAAAAATAACACATAGATGTGTTTGACTTCTTCAGCATTTGTTTAATATTCGGGTTCTGTTAAAAACAGAATTTAACTGACTACAAAACTAGAGAATTCACTCTCTAGTATATTTTATGCAATCATAAACAAAAATTTTCCTCACAAAGAAGTATTTGATTAATATATTTTTAACAGAACAAAATAAGTAGAAAAAATGAAATATACCATAATAAGCAATTAGATGAGTTGATTAAAATATCTATTGCTTATTTGGGGGCATGTAAAAATGGTATACTACTAATGTATTTTTCATTATTACGAACACAAGGGGTATACCAAAAAATAAAACAGTACCCAGTAAAATATGAAAATGCACGATAAATACATCCTACGGTCAGTTATTTTAATAATATTCTTTTATTTACAGAATGGTAGACTTGGACGCAAATGTTGTTGATCGGGATAAAAACAAACAAGAGACAATATTCGATATGGAAATAGACGAAAAGGATGAAGTCAGTGAGACATTAGGACTACTGTATGTTAGAAATACTGAAATGGCTTGAGGATGAACGGGATCCAGTGCTTAATATATTAGACATGCAATGTTTTGTGAGAGAGTTGTACTTCCTACACATGGCATCAGGTACTGTACAACAATTTTTAATTTACTTTTATCTTATAGGTCTATATAATAAATATGTTATTGTACCTTACTAACAATTTATATGAATTTTAACGTCATTTTTCAGGAGGGTACACGTCCAATTCGTAATTCTGTACACCATGATCGATAAGCCAGCAATGCGCGGATGACGAATATTCAGAAAATTGTGGCTAGTTTGCGGCCGGTTTACACGGTCTAGGTCCGGGGGCTTTAGCAACCAGAAGAAACCGAGGCCAGTTCATTTAGCTGGTCTGCTCGCACGGTGTGTGTAAGGGTGTCGAATTCAAGACTTATCCAGTATCTGAGACTTATGGCTGATTGGTGTCAATTCATATCTGACAGCCACACAAGAATCAACGGTGGCCGACAACACCAAAGTGCATGGTGCCTTCCATGCCATATGCCATGCTATATTCTATCTAGTGGCATTTAAAAAATCATATATATTTTCCACTAAAGAAAGTGAGTATTTTAATTGAATACAACATAGATGGAATCTAGTACTCCAAAATTAATTATAAATGCTAGTAATATATTTCAAAATGATTCTCTGAATTATATAAATAATATTTAATTCTAGGTATAAATTTTGTGGAATCCCTCAATCTGCCGCGTTTGGTGACATGCAACTTGAATCCCCTTTCGGACCTGTCCACCACAAGTCACTCGAGCCTTCTCATCTGTGACCCGTTCACACCAAGTTGTTTACTGTCAGGCCATCATAGAGAAAAATACGAGGTCTACTCTTCAAAAACGCGATTCAGAAGTATGATGAATGGTTCCCATATGATCCTTATACATTACCAATGTAAGTAATGTTGATTTTATTATATTTATACAATATTAGTCTGATATATTAGTAAACTAATGATATATTTCTTCTTAATACTTAGTATAAAAATACACATTATTTAATAACTAGATTACGTCATAATTCAGTTGTGTGAAAAATTTACTTTACTAATAAATTCTTTCACTACTTAAAAGAGTAATCCCTACTAATATTATAAATGTGAAAGTAACTCTGTCTGTCTATTACGTTTCCACGCCTAAATCACTCAACCGATTTAAATGAAATTTGGTACAGAGATAGAGTTGGCCATGAGAAAGAATAGAGGATAATTTTTATCCCAGACTTTTGCAAAGTTCTCTTTGAAAACGCGATATAACCGAACTGGACGCGGGCGAAGCCGCAGGCGGAAATCTAGTTATTACATAGTTTTGTATTAAAAATTAATTGGAATCTTTCAGATCTGGTAAAATAATCTGGCCGCTGTGTATGGAATACAAGGACATGTTCAAAGATAGTGACAATGAGACCCAGTACACGAGTTTGAAACGTAAATTAGAAGCTGAAAGATGATGATTACTTGATGCCCAGTGCTTCCCAGAGATTCAGCTAGCTCCTTATCAAACTGTATATCGCCAGGATTTAAAAACCAGTGAAAGTATACTTATATAATGTTATTATGGTTGTGCCGAATCTTCAATTCCATATTTATCCAGTACTTTGGCCGATAATTTAAAATGTTACATATAAGTACAAGTCATATATAACTTTGTAGTGTCAAACTTATTTAAAAAATTTTTTTGTTACTTAAATATCTTCAGATATAAATATATGTTTTTTTAAAGCTATTTATATATCACAGTTTTCTTAATGGCAATATATAATTAAGATTGCTTATTTTAAAAAAGAATACATTTATTTTAAAGAACGAAACGTGATATTGTGTTTCCGCCTTCAAGATATACATCAAAATGTGTTTTTGATGATTGAATTTATAAATATTTTTAAGTTTTGTATAAATGCATAGAAGCTACCGTGAGTAAGATTTAACATATAACAGATAAGTTTTGTTAATAATTATTACATTATACCATGCTATACTGTTAGTAAATAAAACAATATTATTTATTCATATTGGTTTTAATTTGAACTGTCTTATATCGCAACATGTCTAATGGGTAATATTTTGCTAGTGAACACGAAGGGCATAATCAAGGATCTACTTAAACTGTTAAAAGAATATATTGAATATAAATTTTAAAGCCATTGTAAAACGTTTTAACAAAAACTATCACTCTAATCTTATTAACCTTAATATTCTTATACTATACTTTATACTAATTATTGAGAGTTTACTTAATAAGTTAGAATTTGCTATACACAAAATTTAAGCAACATTGAGAGTATTAAGAGTGAGTTAAGGGCAAGAACAAGCCGAGAGTAAAATTTTTACTTAAGGCAAAGGTATTGCAACATTTAAATACACAAAAAAAAATAATATATCTAGAGATTTAGATTCACAAATAATTAAGTTGATTTATAAGATTTGTTGTAAAGTCATTATATTAGAAGAAATTAACCATAATGGTTGTTATGGTATCATATTAAAATTTTATCTCTTCTTATGGTAAGGATGTCGCCTTTCTGAATGAGCTAATAGTCTTATTTGGGGGCTGGTGTTGTTTTGTTTGATACTGAGTGATGACTGGGGCTTCGTTAGCGGCCAACCTGTTGATAACAAAGTCATCACCGGCTTTCATATTTTCCATCATCTTAAGTTTCGCCTCTATAGACTGTATGGCTGTTTTCTTGCTAAGTTTAAAAACTCTGGCTTCACACCAGACAGTGCTGCAATACCAAATTCTGGTTTTTGGCTTTTCCTGTTCTTCCTGCAAATACAGAATAAATTATGCTAGGGAAATCTCCAATGAGGGACTTTATACACTATTTCATAAAAATTAATATTAATTAGCAATTCCCCTCTACTTTAAGTGTACATATAAAAGAATATATTGTATAGTTTTTTTTAGATATCAGTAGTCTTTTTGGCAATAGAAGATATACAATGAAAGAGTAATCTTGTATATTAAATGTTATATACTTACATATTATATTCTAAAGGAAAGAACTATATAATGAATTTTTAATGCTTTCTTACATAAACTAGATCAGTTTTTCTTTAATATAAACACCAATTATACTCAATGAAGTGTTCTGGCATATTTTGACACAAATCCTTTTAGATCCAAGGAGCTGTCCGTTGGAGTGAGGTCATGGCTTTTATAGCATCTTGTTTCAACTTGTATGTAACAAAAGCAAAACCTCTCGGCTGGCCAGCATTCGGCCCGCTCCGATGAAACAGCATATCAAACTTCTCAATGTTGCCGTAGACGCGGACCATTTTCAGTAATTGATACCGGTAATAGAAATAGGTTAAGTTTAGTCAATAGTTTAGGTAAAATAACCACCAGTCACATAAATTCGTTAAGAGCTTCATTAATAGCTGAAATAATGTAATATTATAAGTGATAGTTAATTTTAAAATATGATAAAACATACTCATTGACTCTCAAATCCAGGTTCCCAATCCACAGCCGTTTGTCGCAAGTCTGTTCTGAGTGCATCGGTTTCTAAGTGTAATGGCAAACTGAAAAATACAAAACGTTTGAAATGAAATGAACTTTTAAGACAAAAGGTAAGATATAAATTGACTCTTTTGTACATACCGAGGCATCCTCCATCTTAAAAAAGTGCTCTTTTTTGTGAGACTTACAAAATAAGTAAGATTTATAAGAAGGCAATAGAAATCAAGTATCGATTGGTACTTGACATACAGCTACACCAAAAATATGGAGAAGCAATTATTCACCGATACGATATTTCAAAATAGAACATTGTAAAATAAAAATCAAGAGATCAAACGTCTATAAATAGGTATTTGAAAATATAAAGGCCGAGACACCACAATAACAATAAAAATTAGAAACTGAACGAATACGTCAATTTTATATGCCCAAGCTATTGAGTTTAAATTTGAAGCACAGATTATTTTAACTGTAAACGGAAAATGGGTAATTTGTACTAATTAATATTAAATATGGGTTTCTGGGTAATAATTTAATCATAAAAAATTATTTATTTTAAAATTTCATTAATATATATATAATAATAATATATGAATTTTGTTTCAAGGGCCAATTGAAATAATTTTAGGATCCCAAATCTTACTATTTTATAAGTTGTCAACATGACGTTCTTATCCTGTCACATTTCATAACTTTAAATTATGTTAAGTTTTGTAATGTATGTTGATTTTATTTTTTCTATGATAATTTCCATCAAGTTTTAAATATTCACGATTGAGTCAATCAAAATTTTCTCCCAAACTATTCTATTTATTAACCATAAGAAAAGCATCGTAAATGAAATTTTTCAGTTTGTAACGTTGGGTAACTTTAGTTTGCAAAGTTATGGCTGTAGGAAAACAGTACCTGGTTTATGTCTCATTCTAAAAGTGAAGTAGATGGTAAAATTCAAAATTTGTCTAACCAAAACTATACCGGAATTATTAGATCTGCGGGATCGCCAGCAAAAGTTGTTAAATAATAAAGCATTCATAAGAAAATTTACCAGATAAAGGAGCAAAAATTCAGGCGCTATATGATAAGATCTGTTTAGAAATAAAGGCAAAGGAAGAGGAAGAACAGACATGTAACCTTTTTAGTGCCATGAAACTTAATGGTGTTGATAAGGAAAGTGTGCAAATATTGAATGGCAGGGAAGATAGACAAAAATCAAAATACTTACTTAGACTCTGATGATGACAGTGAACCTGAAGATGTCCTAATCACATATTAAGTAAAAGTGGCGTAAAAGAAAAACAAGTGAAAGTGTTACAACCAGATAAAAAACCATTAATTACACCACAGGATTTATTAGAAATAGGTGAAGTACCATATGTAAAGAAATTAGTTGAAAAAACAGAGATTAAATCCAAACCAAAAGTCAATGGAAACTTTAAACCATACAAGCTACCTGGATCAGAGGAACAGAACACTGAAAAAAGAAATTTCTAGAACAAGAAAAAAACATTGGGAGTTAACGGCCGCGACCCACCACCCATTCTTTCACAGTCCGGCAAAAATATTGAACATAGAAGAATCTCTTAAATTGCAAGCAGAATATAAACAGACATATGAAGGAAATTGAAGCCAAACATGCCGCGGAGCGGACTACTGTCTTTAAGAGGTCTAAAAATGCCTGAACTACCACAAGACACTACGAAATTTGGCAAATACAGGAATGTTGATAGCGATGATAACAATTCCGATGACTCAGATCCCGAAGGCAGCGACAAAGAAGTGCATGACGATGAACCGGAACGAGGCGGAGTGATATTTACTGTTATGAAATAGGAATTATTATAAATAGATGCAGTATGTATATTAAGAGGAATAGTATTTGATATTTATATTTTGTATAAAAGAATAAAATGTTTGTTTTATATTTTTTGTTTTATTGAACATAATTTAATTAACATTAATTTAATTTAAATTTTTTTACACATAATAATTTCGTAAATATTTTGACAAATAGATTTTTTTTAATGAAAAGTGTATGATGATACTGTTATTTACACGTAATTACTGAAATTGGAATAGCGATAAAAAAAAATAAAACAGTTTTTTTTTTATTGTTTACAAGACAAAGGAATACATTTCATATTATGTGACAGATTTAAAACTTTTAATTAGTACTCACTTTTTAAAGGTTTAACGAAGAAATTTTTGCGCATGTCATTGATCAATGTTATATTAACGCAAGCGCGAACTATGAATTTATAATAATTGCGTAACACACTCTATCTTAATCGAATAAAGTTTATAATGGCACAACACTAGCGTTTGAGTCAGCAAAATATCAGTCAAGTCAATGAAACCGGACAGAACAACTGACAACATTAGTATTTCCGCGCTCGCGGGGATTGCACGTCTCTTCGTTTTGTTGTTGTGCATTTATCGTTAAATAATATTAAAATGGCACCCATTTTCTAATACAGTCGTTGGAATTGATGATGATCAGCGGTTCGCGCTAATGAAGGTAAGATTTTCATTTATTATAATTACAGTGTAAACTCCCATATAACGACACTCGATTTAACGACAAAACTCTCTAAAGCGTCGTCGAAATCATTGACTTTGGTTGGTTTTAGCTTGTCTACCATACAAATGATACACTCTATATAGCGTCACAGCCACTCTCAAATAGCGACAAAATTAAGTAATAAAAAGTACCACTTAAGTTGCTAAAATTAGTAAAAAATGCGCAGCTGTGTACGTTTTTTTGTCGCTTTGTTATCCTAGCCCGCAATAAACTCCACTGTCGTAAATCATGCATAACCAAACTTTTCTAAAGAAATTCGTTCTTCACCAATATGCCTCAATATCGCAAGATATGAATAAAATACGTAAAAAATACAACAACATTACTGGTGCAGCAAAACACGTCAAACAAAAAACAACAAGAGCTTTATAAAATTCTTTTTATGTACATAAGTACTAACAGTAGTCTGAAAACAAACTTTGTCTTTTTCTAATTATGATTTTTCTTCCCTCTATTTAACGGCAACTCTCTATAACGCACAAAAATGCACGGTCCCTTCAGTGTCGTTATATAGAGTTTACAACTGTATTTTTATCGGTTCACGTAAAACAAATGTATGTTTTCCGGAGTAAAGATCTCAAGGACAAGTTTGAATCCATATTTTACTGTAATATAACACAGTTTTGAAGGGCTAGATAGAAAATATCTAATTTATTTATTTTATTATTATTATTGTAAGTACGACTGACCGTTAGGTAAGCGTTTAGCGTTAGGTAAAGCGTTTTGGTAAGAAGACAATTAATATTGAAAATGCATCTTCATATAATATCAACTTAAACCTAAAAAAATTTCTGGACAATCCTTACCTCTTTAGTATTTTGTTGTTTCCTTTTATTTCTAAGCATACTTCAAACTGCGATCAACTCAGAAAATACGTATGTTACGCGGTCCTCAACTGGTTTTCGAAAATATAAAAACAAAAAACCTAGAATTCTACTTAAATCAAATTGACTCGAGATATTAATTTTTGGCTTTAAATTTGACAGATAAATTGATGTTGGTCGAAATTCTTCAGCCTTTAAAACGAGTTTGCGAATGCAACCGAGTATAACACTAAAATATAAAATAAATATTCTAAAATAAAACCAAATTATTTATGCAAAGCGAGTAGGATAATAAAAACCATATTCAAGGGTTTTGATGAAAAAAAAAACAATTATAAACATACAATTGTATACATGTATATGAAAAAAAATGTTTCCTTATTAAAGCTCCCACTTTGGTCGACAAAAAGTATTAGCTACGACGACAGGTTGATTTCTTAAATTTTTATTAAATACATCATGTTTGGTTCGTAATTGTTTTGTTATTTGAAATTGCAACATAGTTCCAACTTCGCAATTACTCGCCGAAAACATTGACCCACCCACAATACAAGGCAACGATTTCCCAATTTGTCAACTGAAAGTCGAAATAAATAGAAAAATGAAGAAAATCTTAGTGTACCTCTAAAAACAATATTGTTGCTTGTATATTTTTAATCTGTATCAATATTTATTTCTTAGTTATAAAACCGTTTTATTGACAAATACGTTTTTTAAAGTAATGTCAGATCGTGGTAGATTCTTAATAGGAATATATAATTGTGTTTATAAAGAAAATTATTATATCTCTATGCCTTCACCATTGCAACAACATGCAAGAAGTAGTTAAAGTGACTTTCCATTTTCTCGTAACACTTCCGCGCTATACTAATGATATGTACAAAAAGAGCAATTTTCTGACCGTAGGGAGCAATCTAGATAATGTGAACAACGTAATAAACATGTACTTTTATGTAGAAATTAAATACTAGTACATATACTTCAAATATTATATATAGAGACAGAAAAAGAATAAAGATATATTTTCCTTATATGTATAACAGAATTGAGAGGTATGTATCATTATGTTCATGGCAACACTTAAAAATTTAATTTGCTAAAACTCAAAAAAAAACTTGATCACGACAGTCTAATAAAAAATACAGACAAATTGATAACATTAAAAATTTTTGAATCCATAAAAATTATTTTAAGTTCATTGTGAAACTATAGTTAAACAGGTTATAGTTTTAAATATCTTTATTTTATTTATTCTAGTAACAGTCCTTTCAATATTACTTTGCTGCTTAAGGTACACCATAGTAACAGACTAATTATAAGATTGATTGATAGATAAGTATAATACCTTTAGCTATGAATTATGATAAAACAAAAAAAACTGTACCGGATTTTCTAAAACAAATTAGAAACGTCAATCTTTAAAAGTTATAATTAATACCTGTTAAACTTTCTAATATTGGTTGGATTTGATTCACAAAAAAACAGTTGAAAAATCGCTCAGTAAAAATATGAATCGAATTAGAAAAAAGAATATAAATATGAACCTAATATAAATTGATAAGTATTAGATTAATTTATACTGATTAAAAAATATTTAATAGAAAAATATCTTTGACATAATCTATGGCCTCTTATTTTCAATTTGTTGCTATAATCTGTTAAAAACCCATTTCGTGAATCTAGAAAACTCTCAGGTAAATTTTATATAAAAAACAATATCACGTAATTATATATCTTAATCGATATAAGAATAAGTTATTATTCGTTGAACATTCAACAAACCATGGCCTTATTTTTAATTGTTTTATCACGATAACATTATCGATACATTTTAATATTACTTCATTACTTGTGAAATGTACACGCACCATAGTGTACACGCATGCTTGCAAATTACTTTCTAGTGTGTACAGTTTCATAAAATGGTAAAGCAAGAATCCGTGTTGTACATACTTAATTTTTAAAGACGAATTCATAGAAATTTATGTCTGGAATGCAAATTATTTTTTTATATATATTTTAAACAATGAATATATGTATTTAAATTTTTTCTTTAAATATAAATTTCATAATTACACATTAAAAAAATACATATACAACGTGTAACATAATTAACGCACACTCTGAAAGTAGTTTGATCAGAAATCGGATACTGGATCGATTTTGATAGTTTTTTATGTAGGTCATTTTTTTTCTCAAATTTAGATAGAAAAAACTAAGTAAATTATAGTTACCCTACACACAGTTATCTAAACACTTCATAGAAAACGAAAATTAATGGAAACGAAATGGATCGTAAGTCAGGGTATTAAGATTTTTTAAAATGAAATATTTAATTAGTAATCATCATTCAATTAAAGAAAAACTGATACTTATTTCAAGGCTAAAATAGTATTTAATAATAACTACGCACGCAACACCATAGGCGACAACCGGCACATAGCAAGGTCCACTACAGCGCATAAAAGAAAGCCGCGTAATACAAAAAATTATTACTTTCTCCTTCTTACTTCTTATTATTGTCGGACGGCACTCGGATAGAGGGGCGCGGGCGCGGCGAGTACAGAGTGTCGCTGAATAGCGGACCATATTATTTGCACGAAATTGGGATAACTAATTTCACAAATAAAAAATGCAAACGCACATATAAATAATATTTGGTGTATGCATTGCGTTTTATATTATTATATACGCATTGGGGTATTTGAGGGTGTGCGTTAATTACGTTACACGTTGTATATAAAGATTATATTTTTATCTATGACATTTAAAACAGATAATTAAAATAGATAGGGATTTATCTATAATTTGAATTGATTACATAATTATTAAGTTAGTACTATTATTTATTTTATCACAACAAACTTTAATGAATGCTATAAGTGTAAACTAGTTTACTTCATACTTGTTATTTTATAATTTGTTATAATAATGCTCTTGCGCATTCGTAAAATTGCATACCGCCTTCAATAGGCAGGCGTTTATTAAAAATGTTGCAAATTTTTAATCGACCCTGATATACATTATTTAATGTACACTTAAAAAATAAATGTAAACTAAGTATTTTTTTTGGCTCAACTTAAAAAAAAATTAAGCAAAATAAAAAAAAACTGTTTAAATTATGTATTTTTTTATATTGCATATAAAATAAGCGTATTTTATTATGAAAATATATAATGATATTAAATTTAAATACATATTTGCCTAATAAGGATATGCAAGTATATTTTACCATATTCCGAGGTTTCCGGTAAATATTATGCCTAAAAAAGAGATATTACTATTAAAAGGCGGTTTCTGACATGTTTTTGTTTGTTCACTCACTGTATTTTGTAAATTAATTTATGTAAATTAATACATAATTACAAGTACATAATTCAATCAAGAAATCGCTTCTTCCGAAACTATTCTCGTCATGGAATAGTGCT